CTTTGAGCGTCTTGGGTGCCTCGGGGATCCTCGTGACGCCTCTTGGAGGTCTCTTGGGAGCCTCTTGGGCGCCTCTTGGGCGCCTCTTGGGGCCGTCTGGGTGCCTCTTGGGACCAATGTGGGGCTCTTTTGGGAGCCCTAGGGGCGCTCTTGGGGCCATCTTGGAGGACATCAATCAAAACAGAGGGGGGCTCCAATTAGGCCCCCCCCTCGGGAACCACAAACATCGCCTCTTGGGGCCCCCTTGGGGCGCTCTTTGAGCGCTCTTGGGGCCGTTTTGGGGTCCTTCTGGGCCTCTCTTGGGGCCCTCTTGGGCCCTCGGGAGGCCATCAGAAGCGAAGAGTGAGAAGGCAACAAACATTGATTTTCCTGATGTTTGGAAGGATTTTGGCTTCTTGGCGGCTCCCTGCGGAGGTTCTGTGGCCACTTTGAGCCGCCTTGGGGCGGTCTCGGAGCCTCTTGGAGCATCTCGGAAGCCATCATGAGCCATCTGAAGGCATCTTGAACTAGTTTGGAGGTCATCTTGGGCTCTCTGAGGCCCTCTTGGAGCCATCTTGGGCCATGTTGGACGCTCCCAGTAGCCGCGACCACCCCCGTCCAGGTCCAGCGGGAAGAATAGGGGGTGGGGTCAAGAGGCCTCCCCTTCGGCCCGCAAGCCGTCCCGCTCACTCCCACCCGCCCTCCCAACACATAAGTAACACCCGAGGGAGTCTCAGCATATCGCCTAGGAGCGCCACGCATGCCACGCGCGCCACGGGTTCCAGGTGCGCCAGGCACCCTGGAGGCCCAAGCGAGCCAGGCGCGCCAGGTGCGGCACGCTTTCCATGTTTAAGCAGTATGCCGGCCCCCCCGCCGTCCCTGTCAAAAACCAAAGTGGTTGCGGGGCGCCCGCGCATGCTCCAGATGTGGAGGCAAAGTGCATTCTGAATTGATTTCTGAAAGGGATGGTTGGCCTTTGCGCAGCAAGCAATATGACGGCACCCCAGCCGTCCTTGTCAAAAGCCAATGCAAAGTGGTCGCCGGGCGCCCACGCATGCTCAATAGTTGGAGGCAGAGTGCATTCTGTATTGCTTTTCGACAGGGATGGTGTGGGTGTGTGTGTGATCAGGGTGGGCGCAGGGTCTGGGTTGGCCCACAGTCGGGTGGGGGAGGGGGTGTGCGTATTAATATCAGGAGGGGAAAACACACACAGACAATTAATCGTCGATTCCCCGGAAAATATGGGAAAATATGATAAGGGGGGGGGAAGACAAAAATTTAGAACATGTGGGGAAATATTGGGAATCTTTTTATTTGTGTGTATTCATGATGTGTGTTAGTGGGCCCCTTCAGAGGGGGTGTGCGTGTGAATAAGGAGCGGTGATCAAGAGGCCCCCCCCTCGGCCCGCAGGCCGTCTCGGCTCGCCTCCGCCCGCCCTCCCAGCACATAAGTAACTCCAGGGAGGCAGAACCGCCCAGACCCCGACAATTCGGCGTTTGCTGCACGGCCTTGGGCGTTTGGCACACCGCCCTGCCCCTGAGCGATTCCTCCCCCGGGTGCGTCTGCTACACAACTCGCTGGCCGGGGTGCTTCCTATGGGGGGTGGAGCTGCTGCCCCCCCCCTGGGAGCACCCGACCCAGACATCCGACGTCTCGATTTTTTCGAGACACGGGCCCCCGACCTCGCGACCACTTCCCCGGGACCGGTTTTTCATCCCGAGCCGTTTTTTGACGCTCCCGAGGCCCGGCGAGGGCCCCGGGAGGCCGAAAATAACGAAAAACCTCCGTCTCGATTTTTTCGAGACGACCGATGTCTGGGGAGGGGGTCTCGGCACACCGCCCGGGAGCGCCGCGCGGGCCGCGCGCGCCACGGCGCCCCGGTGCGCCCAGGCACCCCGACGACGCCCAGGCGCGCCCAGGCGCGCCTGGGCGCGCCGGGCGCGGCACGCGCTCCGCGCCGAAGCAGCGCGCCCGGCCGCCCCCCGCCGGCCCTGTCGAAAACGGGTGCAGAAAGGTCCTCTCCTCCTCCTCCTCCTCCTCCTCCTCCTCCCCCCTCCCTCCTCCTCCTCCTCCCCCTCCTCCTCCTCCTCCTCCCCCCCCCTCCTCCTCCTCCTCCTCCTCCTCCTCCTCCTCCTCCTCCTCCTCCTCCTCCTCCTCCTCCTCCCTCCTCTTCCCCCCTGCCTCCTCCTCCTCCTCCTCCTCTCCTCGGGGTCGCGGGGCGCCCGCGCGTGCCCCAGGCTCAGGAGGGAGAACACGGGCACAATGAATCGTCGACTCCCCAGGGACGTGTTGGGAAATATGGGAAAAGTGGTGGGGGGGGACAGAAACCCAGAACATGCTGGCAGATATGGGGGGGCTTGTTACTCGTGTGTATTCATTTGTGTGTCCCAGGGCCCCTTCATCTAGATGTGGAGGCAAAGTGCATTTTTCTTTCCCCCGGAGAGGGCGGAGGCCCAGGGTTTCTCTTCTAGCTTTGTAAACGAAGGGCCGGGTTTTACCTGTGTGGCGCCGGCGAGTTTCTTTCGCGATAAATGACGAGGTCGCGCAGGGCCGACGAATTCAAAAGTTGAGGATGTCCCCAGCGAGACTCTGGTTTTTGGAATCCCGATCGATAAATCACAGGGTGCGGAGCACTTTTTGTCAGGGGCACGAATCAGTTTTTTTTTTTTTGTTCCCATCGATTGGCCCTCTCCAAGGGGCACGAATCCGTGTGTTCTTACGCTGTTCCTATAGATTTGCCCTCTCCAGGAGGCCCCGCGAGGGCCCAGGCCGCCCAGGGGGGTATGAGCAAGGACCGCGTGTTTTTACGTGTCCCGGCCACGCAGGGGTGTATCTAACATGGTTGCCCCGAGCTGGCACCTTGTGTTCTTACGTGTCCAGGCCACCCAGGGGCTATCTACCATGGTTGCCCCGAGCTGGCACCACGTGTTCTTACGTGTCCAGGCCACCCAGGGGGGTATCTACCATGGTTGTCTCGAGCAAGGACCACGTGTTTTTACGTGTCCAGGCCACCCAGGGGGGTATCTACCATGGTTGTCCCGAACTGGAACCATGTGTTTTAACGTGTCCAGGCCGCCCAGGGGGGTCTAACATGGCGTCGGGCTCAGCGCCGAATCATCAGGAGACGCACGGGGGGCCGAACAGCGCCACCCGAACACATATCCCAATACAGAAAAGTGTTGTTTTCTTGCTCTGGACAGGGGGTGGCGCTTTCGGGGCCTCGCCAGGGAAGACATTGCGAGGACTTTTCGAGCGGGAGCGCGAATTCAGCGTATCCAGGCCACCCAGGGGGTATCTAACATGGTTGTCCGAGCAAGGACCACGTGTTTTTACTTGTCCAGGCCGCCCAGGGGTGTATCTAACATGGTTGCCCCGAGCAAGGGCCTCGTGTTTTTACGTCCAGGCCACCCAGGGATGTAGCTAACATGGTTGTCCAGAGCTGGCACCACGTGTTCTTACGTGTCCAGGCCACCCAGGGGGGTATCTAACTTGGTTGTCCCGAGCAAGGACCGTGTTTTTTTCAGTGTCCAGACCACTCAGTTTGTCCCGAGCTGGTACCTCGTGTTTTACGTGTCCAGGCTACCCAGGGGTGTATCTAACATGGCTGTCCCGAGCAACCACATGTTTCAACGTGTCCAGGCCACCCAGGGGGGCATCTAATATGGATGTCCCGAGCTGGGACCGCGTGTTTTGTGTTCCGACCATCCAGTGGGGTATCTACCATGGTTGTCCCGAACTGGAACCACGTGTTTTTACGTGTCCAGGCCGCGCAGGGGAGCATTTAACATGGCGTCAGGCCCAGCGCCGAATTAGCAGGAAACGCACGGGGGGCCAAAAAGCGCCCCCCGAACAGGGGGTGGCGCTTTCGGGGCCTCGCCAGGGAAGACATTGCGAGGACTTTTCGAGCGGGAGCGCACATTCAGCGTATCCAGGCCACCCAGGGAGTATCTAGCATGGTTGTCCCGAGCAAGGACCATGTGTTTTTACGTGTCCAGGCCACCCAGGGGGGTATCTAACATGGTTGTCCCGAGCTGGGACCACGTCCCCTGGCGCGTCCCGTGGGCACGTCCCCTGGCTTGCGCTTCCCCTTGCACGTCTGCGGCTCGTCCCCTGGCACGTTCCATGGCGCATCCCTTGGGATCGTGGCCTTGGGAACGCGGATCCAGCGGAGAAGACTCACAGAGCAAGGTAGTTTGTCCTCAGGTGCGTTCCGTGACACGTCCTTTGGCGCGTCCCTGGGCACGTCCCCTGGTTTGCGTTTCCCCCGGCACGCCTGCGGCTCGTCCCCTGACGCGTTCTGTGGCGTTTCATGCCGTGCTCTGGTGCTTCCTCTGCCCGTTCCGTGGCGCGTCCTCTGTGTTTCGTGGGGTGTCGCGTGGACTGTTTCGTGGGGTGTCTCGTGGACTGTTTCGTGGGATGTTTCGTGGGGTGCTGTGTCTGTTGTTTCGCGGGGTCTTTCGCAGGGTGTTCCATCCATTGTCGGTGCGGTTGGCCTCGGTTCGAGTTTGCCCCCACTTGCTTCGCCCCGCTTCGGCACTGAATCGGATCTTGAACTCGAGCTGGTTGAGAACCCCGCACGTTTGATTGCGACCAGCTCTGGGCGAGTCATGCGTTCAGGCAGCTCGAGTTTAAGATCCAAATCAGTTCGGTCAGGATTCGGAGGCCACGGGCGAGTTGATCCACAACGCAATAGAGCACAGCACAGTTCAGCGCAGCACAAGAAGTTCCAAGTCAGCACACGGCGCAGCACAGCCCCTGGCACGGTACATCGCCATCGAAACCTTCAGCATTGTACGTGCCCATCGCGCAGTTCGGTGTCGGCGCAGCGTGGCATCACAGTGCAACGCAGCACGGTGCGTCGCAGCACAGTGTAGCGGAACCTTCTGGCACGGCATCATGCGCTGGAGATCGGGAGTGAAGGGCTGGCGACGTGCTGGAGTGACTGTCCACCTTCCGATTCTCAAGCTGCGCTTCAATGACCGTGTGTGTGTGTGTGTGTATGTGTGTGGAGTGACAGGGTATGCGCAAAGATCTATCAACCCAGGCATCGCTCGCTCTCGTTACAGTGCGCACCTATGGTGGCCGTGATCGATGTGGCTCAAGTCTTACGGTCTATGGGAGCCCAATTCAGTGGCACCCGCAGGTGCTTTTTCGCGTGCGATCTGCGTTTTCGATATGTCTGCCAATGCGCCGCCAGGGCGCGGCTTCTTCTTCTCTTTCTTCTTCTTATCGTTGTTCTTATTATTCATATCCCCCACATCCTAACTGGGGTTCTTGTTTTCTCTGGACACACCGCGCAGTCCTCCCTCACCCCCTCCTTCCCTCGTCATCACTCACCCTCACTCACTCCTTCACTCATCATCATCATCATCATCATCATCATCATCATCATCATCATCATCATCATCATCATCATCATCATCATCATCATCATCATCATCATCATCATCTTCACCAATTACACACTCGGTTACATTCACACTCACTCAATCACCCACTCACACACTCACTTCGCATCGTCACCATAATCATCATCACTCACTCACTCATTCACTCACTCACCATCATCATGCACTCACTCATCATTTCGTCATCACTCACCCGCTAGCATGACAACGGAGGATGTCTCAGGCGGGAGCCTCGTCTGTGAGTGAGTTGCGAGGAAATCTCAGGCGGGAGCCTCCTCCGTATGGGGTCCGCACGTCATCGGCATCTTGTAACTGTCGTCATTTTTGGGCTCCTCAGGCCTGAACATGGGGGAAGTATCAGGCGGGAGCCTCGTCTGTGAGTGAATTGTGAGGAAGTCTCAGGCGGGAGCTCCCTATCTAAGGGGCCCGCAATTCATGTTCGAATCCGCGGCGGGTCATCGGCACCCTGTAACTTTCGTCAGTTTTGGGGCCCTCAGGCCTAAAAGTGGAGGAAGTATCAGGCGGGAGCCTCGTCTGTGAGTGAATTGTGAGGAAGTCTCAGGCGGGAGCTCTCTCCCTAAGGGGCCCGCACTTCATGTTCGAATCCGAGGCGGGTCATCGGCATCTTGTAACTGTCGTCATTCTTGGGCTCCTCAGGTTTGAATATGGAGGAATTATCAGGCAGGAGTTTTGTTTGTGGGTGAATTTGGAGGAAATCTCAAGCGGGAACCCCCTCCCTAAGGGGCCCAAGCTTTAGGTTCGAATCCGCGGCGGGTCATCGGCATCCTGTAGCTGTCGTCCCTTTTGGGCTCCTCAGGCCTGGATATGGAGGAAGTATCAGGCGGGAGCCTCGTCTGTGAGTGAATTGCAAGGAAATCTCAGGCGATAGCCCCCTCCACAAGGGGCCCGCAATGCATGTTCGAATCCGAGGCGGGTCATCGGCAGATTGTATCTGTCGTCGCTTGTGCGCTCCTCAGGCCTGAGTATGGAGGGAGTATCAGGCGGGAGCCTTGTCTGTGAGTGAATTGCGAGAAAGTCTCTGGCGGGAGCCCCCTCTTTAAGGGGCCCGCAATGCATGTTCTAAACCTCCCTCGGGGGCGCACACTGTGCGCCGCTCGGAGTTCACCCTGACGCACGCGTACCTGACCTCTACGCTGTCGCAGGGCCAGACGCTGCGCAAGGGCGTCACCATCGACTGCGCGAGGGACGAGGGCGTTGGCCACACGGGCATGTCGGAGGAACAATGGTGGCTGCACCTCTACGTCATGTTCTCTCCCGCGCCACTTGCATGCGGAATATGCAGATCCTGCGGCAGCCCTAGCGCTAGTTTCTGGAGCGCGGGCCTCCGGCGTCCTTGCGGGAGGCGCTCAAGAAATCCGAGGAGAAAGCAAATACCGCCAGGTATGAGGCCGAGCAGCTTGCCGCGGAGCTTGGCTTCGTGTTGCCTCCCGCATGAGCGCCGCGGCGCGCAGCTAGAGGGCCGCGGGGTTGCCCCGACGGTTTGGCCCGCGGGGTTGTCCCGGCGGCCTGCCCCCGCGCCCCAGCGGCCTGCGGGGTTGTCCAAAGGCGTGGCCCGCGGAGCTGCCCCAAAGGCTTCGCGAACCAGCCGTCGGCGAATGCGCGCGCGATGGCCGAGGCGGCGACGGCGCCGAGGGAGTTCGATTTGCTTGCCCCGACCAGGGGGTGGGGGGAGCACGTGGAGAGAAATCAGGGGAAGGATGACGACGGGGGAGGGATTGGGAGAGGGCCACGACGATGAGGAGGTGGAGAAAGAGGAGGAGGAGGAGGAGGAGGAGGAGGAGAAGAAGGAGGAGGAGGAGGATACATAGAAAGAGGAGGATATATATAAAAGCAGGAGGAGGAGGAGGAGGAGGAGGAGGAGGAGGAGGAGGAGTGAGGAGGAGGAGGAGGAGGAGGAGGA